ATTAAAACAAAAAACCGGCCGACACATATCTATCTAAACAAAATAAAATAACAAAGATATCTGAAACAAACATACGATCATTGCTCATATATATATATATATATATATATATATATATTTATTTATTTATTTATTTCCTCCCATTGTTACAATTCATTGATCAAAATTGGTCAGGATGCTGCTAATTTATCTATCATGTAAATTTTAAATGTGCAACAAAGCATATGCAATTTTATTTATAAAATTTTCCGTAAAAGAACTAAAAAAAATAGTGCTCGAACATTCTCCTTGAAAAATATTGCTCCACAATGAGGAGGCCAAAGCAAACACTTCGACCAGCATAATTTCTCAGAAAAACTCAAAACCGGTGTTAATATAATTATCCAAATAAAATAAACTAAGAAAGAAATCTGAAACAAATATATGAGCATTGCTCATATATGATTCATCTCATTATTTTTGTTGATTCATCAAAACAGATAAGGATGCTGCTAACTTATCTATAATGCATACTTCAAATGTACAGCAAAACATATGCAATTCTATTTATAAAAGTCTCAACAGCATAAAACTAAAAAAAGAAACAATGCTCAACATTTTGAGCAATTCGATCAGCATAATTTATTAGAAAAACTGAAAACAAATGCTCATATAACTATCTAAACAAAATAAACCAACAAAGATATCTAAAACAAATAGATGAGCATTGCTCATATATATTTCACTTCATTGCTTCTGTTATTGATAATAACAGGTAAGGAAGCTGCTAATTTATCTATCATGCAAACTTTCAAATGTGTGGCAAATCATTTGCAATTCTATTTATTAAAGTCAGATAAACTTAAAATAAGAAACAATGCTCAACATTCTGAGCAATTCAGACAGTATAAATTGGCAGAAAAATTAAAAATCATTGCTCATGTAATTATCCAAACAAAATAAACCAACAAAGATATTTGAATCAAACAGAAGAGCATTGCTCATATATTATTCACTCTATTACTTTTGCTGATTAATCAAGGCATGTAAAGATGTTAACTTATATATCATGCAAACTTTCAAATGTGCAGCAAATAATATGCAATGTTATTTATAAAAGTCTTAGATAAACTTATAAAAAAAACAATGCTCAATATTCTCCCATCAAGTTATTAATGCAAGCTAAATAGGAGGTCATAATTTGTGAGAAAAACTGAAAACAAATGCTCGCGCATCTATCTAAATAAAATAAACCAACAAATAAATCTGAAACAAGTAGATGAACATTGTTAATATATATTTCATCCAATTACTTCTATTGATTGATCAGAACATGTAAAGATTATATTAACTTATTTATCATGCAAACTTCAATTGTGCAGCAAAACATATGCAATTCTACTTTGTTCAACATTCTCTCCTTAAAATATTACTCCACACTGATGAGGCAAGAGCAAACAATTTGATCAGCATTATTTAAAAAAAAAAATATTGAAAGCCGGTGATCATATAACTATCCAAACAAAATAAAGCAACAAAGAAATCTAAAATAAATAAGTGAGCATTGCTCATATATATTTCACCCCATTGCTTATACTAATAGATCAAAACAGATAAGGATGTTGCTGACTAATATATCTTGAAAGCCTCAATTTTGCATTAAAGCAAATACAATATGCCTAGAACGTTAGGAAATAAGAAATGCAGAGGTAGGCAGCGAATGAAGCTTAAAAAAAAATCATAAAGAAGAAAACTTCACCGAAAGGTTGCAGCAAGTCGTTGATGTTGAATAGAGGGAGGGGAGCAGAACTAGATTTCAACCCTAGTAATACAGGTGAGAAAGGAGGAGTGGCGAGGATATATGCAAAGGATATGGAGTGAGATCTACTAAAAATCTGAAGGGGCAACAACGTCAAGGCACTTTACAATGGAGCTCCAACCGCGGACCACACCCTCCCCCTTCCGTTTCCTCGTTCGAATCGATGCGGCCTCTGACCAGCGTAATACTGGCGATAAAAGGGGAACCAAACACCGCTTCTACTTCTCCAAGGTGCAGAAGTTGCAGCAACGAAATCCCAAACGGGCCGTTAACCTAACTGAAATGCATCCTAACATCAAAGCAAATCTGCAAAAGAATAGGCCAGACCAATCTCCACATGTTTTTGTTGGGGATTTCTCTGGTGCTAGTTATAGAACTAAGGAAGATTTACATGCATACCTCTCAATTCTAATCTATCTAAATATCTAACACCTAAACTCAAATTTTTACGTGTATGCCACTTTACAGATGCATGCAAATGTGTATTTACTTTTTAAATATTAAAATAGTGATATTTTTTATGTGCTATGAAAAATTTGGGTGTTATAAACTTAGAAGTTAAAGTTTAGGTGTTAGATGTGTAAATGCATAAGAGTTGATTGGTATGTACATAAATGCCCCTTAAAATAAACTTCTGATAATTGTAATTTATTGCTCCCCAGTGCTTTGGTAGTCAAGGAGTTCAAGAATTACATATTAAAAGGCATAAAGGAGCTCCACTAATGATAGCTTGCTTTGTCTCAATTCCATTCTTAAAAATGGTAATTATATGGGGACAATATCAACCCCCTATCACTGATACCAAGTGAAAAACTTCTTTTAAGTTACAAGGTAGGGAATGTATAGCACACAACTATGAATACATATGTTGCCATTTCCATGGATTTTGACTTTAATGGTGCACCTAACTGACCAGGATGTCTTCCTTTTCGACCAGTCTGGGTTTTACGGCCGTGCCGACTTGTACGATAGACACAGAGACATGAGACTCGATGTCGACAACATGTCTTACGAGGTTCTTTTTCCTCCACATATATAAAATCTTCATCTCTATTATTCGTGCGGCACACAATATAATTACCAATTGTTGCAGGAATTACTGGCACTCGAAGAGAGGATCGGCTATGTTAGCACAGGTCTCAACGAAGAAACCATTTTAAAGTCCCTGAGACAAAGAAAATACTCTCCCTGCAATCTCGAAGTTGCATCAACAGAACAGGAGCCATGCTGTATCTGTCGGGTAAGCCACCATGATCAAAATTTCATCACAATGATATAAATTTGGAAGATTTACATACATACCAACTTAATTCAAACGTATTTACATATCTAACGCCTAAACTTCAATTTGTACATAATTGCCACCCTATGAAAAAGTCTACTTTCACATTTTAAAAGTTAAAATAGTGGTAAATTGGACGTGATATGAAAGATTTGGGTGATATAAATGTTCAAAAAAAAAAAAAAGTATAATCGAGGCTCATCGTGACCGTTCAATCAAAATGTGGGCTGATGTGATTCATATTCAATCTAATTCTCTTATGAAAACTCACAAATTCAGGAAGATTACGGTGAGGGAGAGGGGATTGGAACACTGGACTGCAAACATGACTTCCACACTGATTGTATCAAGCAATGGCTCATGATCAAGAATTTGTGTCCTATCTGTAAAACTACAGCTTTGGTCACATGAAGAAACTGGTTTTACACACACCATAAGATATCTAATGGGATGAAGTGAGATTTCTTCCTCATTATTATTAAATTTATTAATAACACTTGACAATCTTTTTTATTGACCTTTTAAGCTGCTAATATTTCCATTTTGTATCCCCAAATTTTCATCTTTTAATTAAGCTTGTACAATATTTAACTTTGGCCCATCTGAAATTCGAGTTCTTATTTCTAATTTGATGTTGCTTGTTTTCTGATAATATAGATTTTGCATAATTATGAATTTTATAATTATTAAATTTTGCAGATTGCACTCATTTTAAAGAAATTATATATATATATTTTTTTTTCTTTTCTGATGAACTTTTAAATTTTGAATTGGTTCATGAAATCATTCATTCATTATTGATAATTGATGATATATTTGTTTCAATGTTTCTTTGGATATTTATGTAATTTGATGTGATGAGAAGATAAATGATTTAAAGGATTCATGTTATTATTTTTTGACAAATTTTACGTTGGTTTCGAACACCTAACTCAAATCTCCACTCTACGCATCTGGGGTTTGGTATCTGATAATGGCAAGTGTTAATCTATTTAACTAAATGAAAATATGAAACTCAATGGAATACAATGAAGAAGGATTCATGTAGCCGGCTACACTTAATGTTAGATGAATGCTTGTTATTGTTATTGTTTGACAAGATAAATGACTAAAAATTGATGTGTAGGTTGTAATACTTTTTTTTCCATTTTTATCAAATTCTCAGTAGTTTGATCATATTCGTGGCACGCATAAATCCATTGGTTCACTAATTTAAAAATATCACTTATATGTTAGATTTTATAAATAGCAATATTTTTATGTATTTATTCCTACTAAAATTATTTAACAAAACAATAATTGATTCATTTATTTATTATTTTGATTAAAATTGATATAATTTATTGGAGTTGAGCTTCAAGCCACCAACTAGGGTTGTATAGCCTTTCAATTGATTTGATCAAAACCCATGAAATTGACAGACAACCTATATGACTTGAGCTTGATTAATTAATTGAGATCAAGCTTGAGCTCAACATTAATTTTATAAATTCTAGCCTGCATATGAGTAAAATTTGTTTATTAGAGAAAAAAAAATAATATTAATCCTATTTAATATTCTAAAAAAATAACAAATATGATGAACAATTAAAAAAAATAAAATATTTTTAATAATTTATTAGCAATAACTTATATTATATGATTAATTATAAATAATAATGATGAAAATTTATAGCAATAACCAACTCAGTCAAATATGATTGACCAAAAAGATCTAATGAAGCCATAGATCATGTTAATTTTATTTATACTTGAGAGAACAAATCATTCCATGTATTTTCTTAAACAATTCTATAATGCCTCTACATTTGTCAAGTTTTAGGAGTTTGTAATTTTTCCCCTTTTTTGGGCATGCAAATGAAAATTATAAGCCTTCAAAATAAAATTGAAAAATATTTAGGACATATGTGCAAATTTAAGAACTGCATAACATTGCTTCATTGTGTCATTTATTATTACCATCAGTAGCTAAAAATGTGGTAAATTTATTTGTTAAATTGAGATGTAAGATGTAAGGTGAGACACATTGTCCTCAATTTCTTTTAAAAAGAGTTTTGCATTTTAGGTGATTGAATTATGACAATAAATTTATTTATTTATTATTTTTTTAATAAAACCTTGTAACCACTTGGATAAGGATACATAAGTAAAATAAATGCTAAAGAAGATATGAAAATCATTCAAAAGTGATGGGATTGTTAGAATAGTACATTGAAAGTACAATGTGGAGCCCTTCCAAATTATGAATGGCACTTATTTTTAGAGATTACTTTCACTTAATATATATACATATATATATGATTGTAGCTTTTTAAAATGTTGTAAAGTGAACTTAGAATTATGTTTTAAAATTAGACTATATTTTTTTTTTTCAAAAAAATTTGACAACTTTTTTAGAGTCACTGCACTTTTAACATATCAATTTGAAAAAAATAGCTTCAGCATGAAATTAGTTCCCCAAACAGAATTATGTAGGCAGTCAAAAAAGAAAAGCAGCCAAATCATTGTCCAAAACAGACCCTTAATATATTGGTTGAGAATAAGATTTCAACTAAGGAGTCACGAGCACTGTACTTTGTTTCTGTTTATGATTAAATTATTTTTCAATATCGAATAAAAAAATACATAAATATTCTAAAGTTAATGGACTGAAAGCTTTCCCACAACTACAAATCTCTCTGATCACCACCTCCTCTTTACTTCCAAGTCTTCCTACATAAATGACTAGTCTGTTATCTTCTCCAACAAATAATTCACTTCCTTTCCTTCCCTTCCCTTCACATCTTTCCCTTTTTTACTCTTTTCTTAAAGCATTGTTTTATGCTGCGGTTCAGTCCTCCCCTCATCTTACTTACCTTCAAAAATACTTTTTCAAAAACAAACAAAATAAATTGCACAACTCCCCTTTCTTTTCTACCATTTCAGTTTTCTTTTGTTGTGCATGTTTTCTCATCATTTGGCTTCAAATTTGAAGATTGTGGTTATGATCTCTTCATTCTTCTTCTAGGTCAGTTGTTTCCACATGAGCCTTTTGCATAAATCCTATTAGATTTAGGGAGGAATATTTAGCATTTTCGGAAAAGGCATTCACATTCATACCACCCAATTCTCATGTATTTACATAATATAACACATATACTTTACTTTTTATATAATTATACCACCCTAATATTTCATATTACATCTTAAATATCATTATTTCAATCTTTCAAAAGCGTACCACTCTTTTCAGAGATGTAAATACATAATATAAGAATTGAGTGGTATGCATCTAAATCATCCTGAATCTTAACTAAAATTTTGCTTATTATTATTTTTATTTTTATTACTTGTATGAATTTTCAGTTATTTATTCTTGCTAAGCTATATATATATATATATATATATATTAAATTACCTAAACAACATAAGAACAAAAATAATTTCTACTATTTATATAGTGAAATTGCAAATTCCAGAGGCCCCAATTGCCCACCCTTCTATATTGGGATCAATATGCCTTTTGGATTAGTTTCAGCTTGGAGGAAGAGAAGCAGCAAATTACAGGAAATCAAAGATCAATGTAAGTGGTAATAATTTAAAATATAATCTCCAATTAAAAGAAAAATATAATTTATTTATTTATATTAATATTATATTTTTTATTTAAAATTAGGGACATATAAGCCTCTAGAAGAGTGGAACCTGAAAGATCAGAGCTTGAGCTTTGGAAGGAGAAAGTGCTCAGTGGCTTTCACTCTGAAGGAAATGGAAGAAGCAACGAATTCTTTCAGTGAGAGGAATTTGATCGGTAAAGGTGGATTCGGTCGTGTTTATAAAGGAATTCTGGCAAATGGGCAGGTTTGCAATTAATCTAATTAATATTCATCTAAATTTCTTTCTTTTTTTTTAAGTGCCTAAATTCTTTTTTATTGTTTAAATTTAATCTCCAAACTCTTTAAATTAAACTATAATTAAACATTAGAATTTAGTGGCGTGTATGTAAATCTTCATAAAATAAAATTGCAACCATGTATATAATAAAATAGTTGGGGCATATTGCTAGTGAACTAACTTCAATTGTTATGTCTGGCGACGGTATGATGTGATCCACATCATCAACCTCATATCTGATTTACCTGACATAATATTTTCTCCAATCACTGAATATTATGAAGATTGTTGCAATCAAGAAGATGGGTCTGCCAGCATCGAAACAGGCCGACGGAGAGCGAGAATTCCGCTTCGAAGTCGACCTTATGAGCAGATTGGACCACACAAATCTGGTCGCACTTATCGGCTATTGCGCTGATGGCAATGCTAGGATTTTGGTATATGAATACATGTCTAGAGGAAACCTACAAGATGTTCTAAATGGTATGTTCTAACCTCAATTCGCACCATTTACATAGATACCACACAATTCTTATGTATTTAGATATGTAACAGTCAAATTCGTTAATATCACATGAAAAATAAATCTTTGTATCTGCTATGTAAATATACATTTAAAATGTAAATCTTCCCAAACAAAAAAAATTGCAGGGCTCAGTGATTTAAAATTAGACTGGCCTCTTAGATTAAGTGTAGCGCTGGGAGCAGCTAGAGGCCTTGCTTATCTTCATTCAAATTCTGAAGTTGGAATTCCAATTGTTCATAGAGATTTCAAGTCCACTAATATTCTCCTAAGTGATACCTTGAAGGCAAAGGTAACTACTAAGAGGATCAAAGCATAATATGACAGATTGCTAAAATGTTATTTCAAAATGTTGTTTGGTTTAACAAAATTTTCATGCAATGCAAAATTTCAGATTTGTGATTTTGGCCTTGCAAAACTAATGCCAGAAGATGAGGGTATACATGCAACTACCAGAATGTTTGGAACTTTTGGCTACTTTGATCCCGAGTATGCATCGGTATGTCATACGTTGGTTACTCGGGATAATAATTGGGGCAATTTCATCTAATTTTATAAGAAAAAACATCTAAATATCTCTACTTATAATAATATCACTCAAACAACAACACTTTCAATTTTCCTTCTTAATTCTAATTACTTCGGTGGTCAAACCCAACGAAGTAATGCTATCGTCATCATAAGCTATTTTAGCACAACTTAAGAAACTTCATTCTCAATTTCTTGCAGCGAAGTGCTGCATTACGAGTTCAAAACTATTGCAAAATTTGCATATATGTCACAGAATTCTTACGCATTTATATATCTAACACCCAAAGTTTAATATTTAGATTTACAATACATCGGTATTAAAAACTTAAGCATGAAAATGTGTATTTTACTTTTGGAAAGTCAGTGATAGTTCATATTTTTTATGTGATGTCAAAGATTTGAGTGTTAAGTATCTAAATATGAAAGTTTATACGTTAGACACGTAAATATATAAGAACTGTGTACTATTCATGCAAATACCCCATTGTTACTTTGGCTCACATCCTTTTGCACTTCTTCTATACATGTTACCTGTAATTTGCCTATTTTTCTCTAACCCCTTATTAATTTAATATACTTGTATTATTAGTGAACCTTTTGCCCTACATTGTGCATAAACATATTACATTATCGATTTTTCACTACCTTATCACCAAACTTTCTTAGTTTATGATGTATAATCCCATTCTTTTTTGTGTTGGTTGTGGATCCAATATTTCACCAATCACACCCATATTCGATGCAATACTTTCTTTTACGTTCTATGAAAACGCAAATATGAGAGGCATTACCAGACCTGACACGAATGCTTCCCTTCTGCAGACAGGAAAGCTCACATTGCAGAGCGATGTATATGCCTTCGGCGTTGTTCTCCTCGAGCTCTTGACCGGACGCCAAGCTTTAGAGTTGAGCCAGGGCACAGCAGATCAGAATCTCATACTCCAGGTGCACATATTCCTAACATACGAGAGTGATAAAATATGAGCAGAGTTTATATAGCATGAAAGTCTCATTTACATATACACCACGCAATTCTAATGAATTTGCATATCTATCTTAAACCTAAACATTCAAATTTAGATGCATACAACTCAAATATTTAACATCACATAAAAAATACCACAATCATTATATTTTTAAAAGTGAATATATAAGTTTTCATGCATATGTTTAAGAATCCAAAGTGTTATAGGTGTAAATATCTAACTTTGGGTGTTAGAAAAGTAAACACATTAGAATTGTGGTATACATATATATATATATATATATATGTAAATCTCTCTTTTTTTTTTCAATGCATGGATTTCAGTTCAGAAATATAGTTAATGTAAGGAAGAAGCTGAGGAAAATGATTGATCCCGAAATACCTCGCCAGTCGTACACTATGGAGAACATCTCGAAGTTTGCAGATTTAGCCTCGCGCTGTGTCCGTATTGAGAGCAGCGCACGCCCAACAATGGAGGAGTGTGTAAAGCTACTCCAACTCATACTTTATGCCAGCAGGAAAGCATAAATTAAGATAGCAGCAAGGAATCATAATGCAAATTGAAAAGAAAAAGAAGTTTGAAGAAAACACAGCACCAGATGAGACTTAACGGTTACATTTTTTGCTCCCAAGGTGGAAGTTTGTGTTGGAAAGTTCCGGTTGCCTGAAAGCATTGTTTGATTGCACAAAATGAATGTGAAACATCTCCCAGATGACTGCAATTATTTATTTATTTACTTTTAATTATTTCTATCAATTGTCAGTCAAGGCGTTATCCAAATTCATAAAAACAACCGGTGCGTCTTGAAATTTTTTCATTATTCAGATTACAAAAATATATGAAGGTCCGTGAATTGCCAGTAAATACAGAAATCCATCAAAAACAGTAAAAAAAGGATGTATACCTGCTCCTAGAATGTTCAAATTTTAGATTGAAGCAAAAAAATTAAAAAAAAAACGTTTAAAATATTGCAATGAAAAGTTTATGTACGATATGGTCAGATTAAAAGGATAATGGGAAACTTGCTTACCTAGCACATAATTCTGATGTATTTACATATCTCACATCTAAATTTTCATATTTACATAAACAGCACTATGGTGCTTTAAACCTATGCATCAAAAGGTGTAATTTCACTTTGATAATATTGCTATTTTCTGATGTGATGGAAAAGATTTGAGTGTTATGTGTGTAAATATGATATTTTAAGCCTGAGATGTGTAAATACATTAGAATTGTGTTCTATGTATGGAAATGCCACTGCAAAAATGCAAATTTTGCGTCTTACTTCATTGAGTGAGAGGAAGTACTTCAGTTTTTCCTCATCAAATATCAAATATGGAGAGGATAACAAGACCACTAAAACCACAACGTTCATGAATAAAAATAAAAGCATAGAAATGCTGATTCAAGGCGGCATCGCCGAAGAGTTTGAATAGCAGTTGACAAAGAAAAATACTATCACATATGTCAAGATAGCTTAATAGGTAACTACATGCCAGTTACGAGACAGTAGAACTGGCGAACTCAATAGCGATACTTTGTGGAGTAATCTTTGGGAGCAATGACGAGACCGCGCCCTTTTCGCGCACCTCGAAAAACAGTTTCAACGATATCTATAAACTCTTGCTTGTCCTTCATCGCCCAGTTGATCTTGTTGTTGTTACCGGTGCCGAGATCGATCATAATGTGTTTGTTGCGGAAAAAAAACATGACGGTGGATGGATCATACAATTCATACATTGTATTGAAATCCGGAACCTCTGTAATATCTACGAGGTATAGCACTGCAAAGTTTTTTATAGTTTCGGCAACTGAGGCCAGCACTTCATCCATCTGCATCATCACATAATAAAGGAGTAGGAAGAAGATACAAGAAAATTAAAAGTTCATTTAAATTTTCCTCAAGAAAATAAGACAGCAAAAAGACCCCACCGGGTAGAAAATTTAAACTTGCTTCAAATGATTAAATAAATATTACTTGTGCAAGCTCAAGTCTCAACAATGTGAAAGATATCCCAAATTTTCTGAAGGCTCAAGATCTACATACCTAGCACACAATTCTTATGTATTTACATATCTCACACCTAAAATTTTATATTTACAGATATAGCTTCGTGCCTTAAACTAATGCATGAATTGGTGTATTTCACCTTTAAAAAGTGCCAATAGTGCTATTTCTATGTGATATTAAAGATTTGAGTGCTATGTGTGTAAATGAAAGTTTAGGTGTGACATATCACATATGTAAATAGAATAAAATTGTGTGTTATGTATGTAAATGCCTCAATAATATAACATTACCCTTCAATTTCTAGAATTCAAATATGCCAGCAATGTTTCCAGAGCTACCAAAAAGATTGCTGCTTGGAAAGGAAAAAAAATTAATAATTTTGCGCTGCCAAAAAGACATGTCTTCTAGGTTGTTGCATGGAGGGGTATTGTAAATGCATGTCATATTTCATACATTCATCAACGACTTAGCGACTTCTTTTGGGCTAAGAGTAGGGTAACATAGCATTTTCCAAAGAAAAAAATCCCACCTAAAAAGGACCGAAGTGTCTAATTGCCAGTTCTTTAGTATTTATCAAAATACTAGTAAAATATACATAAAGAATGTATTATCCATGATTTATGCAAATTCCTAGCGCCTTAGACCAGTGAGTCTTTCTAGACTGATATAAAAGTTTTCTTACAATGAAGAACTGTGCTCAAGCTCTCTTCTGGCACATTGAGAAGTATAGGGGGGATATAATTGGAGGAAGGATATATTTTCGTCCATGACAGAGTAACTATGGTGCATTCACAAAATATAACATAAAAAGGGTTTAACATAAAAATCAAACGCATTCAGCTTTAGCTATGCAAAATATACATCTCATGCTCCACAGGCTTTTGTTATGATCATCAACAAATATTACTATTATTTGTTTCACTAAAGATAGAAACTAGAAAAGCATTATGCTATAATTCACCAGAAATATTGTACGAGATTTTATACATGAGTTAAGAAATTGAGAAATATTATATAGCTACACTCGTGTTAATATTATTGCACACGTTCTTGCTCCTACGGAAATTCCAATAATGCGTAATCTAACGCTTATTGAAAACATGCCAAAATAAAAATCGTGTGTGGTTGAATATGAATAAAACTTTTTTGAGAATATATTAGATGCAGAAGTCTACAGCCAATGTCATCAAGTCTAAATGCACCCGCTCTAGAATTTAGTCATGAACATGATCCTACATATGAACAAGAGTTAAGATTATAGTTTAAAAGTATGATTGAGGATAAGATATTATAACTTCTAAGAAAGATGGAACATATGCTTGAATATCAAAATAAATCAGTCATGCCTACAATGGTTGAATCAAATGAGCAATCTGAAATACAATGCTTGATGAATTAAATAATAATATTATTCTTATGATCAATGCCAAACCTAATGTTGATTTTGCTTATGGTTCTTAGTTTCTAGATATACTAATTCATTAAGAAAAAATTATGCAGAGAATTACATCGCATCACTATTTCAAGCAACCTAATAAAAGCAAAGGTTTTAAAAACTTTATACATTTGTTGATCAAGTTTAAAAATGCATAATTCATTAAAACTCATATCTAGATTATTAGAATTAATTTTATCTAAGGAAATTGTTCATCTGCATATAAGCATATCTTATTTTCATGGCCTGCTGCTTTTAGGTTCTTTATCATATCTTCAATGAGGAATTGTACATAGATATTTATTAAGTTTTTTAAAATACAGACTAGTATTTTTAGTATTTACATTAATTGTTCAATTCATATTAGTCATTTACATAATTCACCTGATGTACATGAAGATAATCACAGCACCCAGATTACGACATAGAACAATTATAAGCCCTTTTGTTAATGTGAATGAGAGGCATGAGAAATTTAAACAAGGAGATAAAAGAATTGTGTGTTCTAAAATCATGGAGAATTCATTTAGTAAGTTTTGAAGTATTAAACGTGAGAAAGGTATTTAAAATTCTGCAATGCATTATAATTAAAGCCTATAAATTAGAAATTCTAGAAAATTTTTGCATTAACCCATCCTTTTAATATATTGGGTCTCACCTTATTTCATGACCAAAATGTCAATTCCTATATTATTCTCTCATTCCATCTCAATATGATAATGTGTTGCTGGCCACATCCATACAACTTGTTGACAAAATCATAGTAAATGAAGAAATTATGTATTAATGTAGGTTCCAAATATACCTTGTGTATTGGAGTAGTGTTTTATGTACTGAAGGAAAATAAGAACATCATAATTGAGTCTTCTACCATGGGCTCGTGGCAAAGATTGGGTTGCCTCAAATTGCCTTTCAAGATAAGGCATGTGTTTAATGTTCAGTTATTCTTACCAACATACCACAGTTACTACAAGTAATCCTACTCCAGCAGAGGTAGCTTCACGCACTCTCGAGAGGAAGGTTAGTCGAGCATATAATGGTTTTCATTCTACCACTATTCCAATCTTCTATCCGACATTGATGGCCTTGCTTATCAAAAGAGACCAACATTCAACACTCCTCAAAACATCAGACCTTCCATATAAAGTAGCATGTTTGATTTCCCATCTATGTTATAGCATATTTTTTTATCATGTTCCTCGAAGATAAAGATTTTGTTGTTGTTGTTCCTCGAAGATGTTCAAGCGGCCTTTCGCGGACACATTTTGATAACCCTTCAAATTGCATGGCAAGCACATTCCTTGGTTTTGAGTTTTCTAACAACCATTTTGTCCCATTTCTACATAGTTTGAGGACTTACCTATGTCACGGCTTGGAAAGGTAGCCAAATGGACTAGAAATAGATTGCTCCATGCAAAGCAATAACAATCTACTCTATTTAATCATAATCCTAGTATCAATAAATCATTTTGGTATTTTCACAACCTCTATGGTTAAAAAGACAGTTGAGATTGTGAGATTTACTCTTATCAGAATTAGTACATTAAAACTGAATGCTAAAGTTTATAAACTAGAAATTCTAAACAACTCTTACAATACTACAATCTTCAATGTATTTGATTTAACCTTATTTCATGACCATGATGCTAGAATTATTCTCTCTTACTAACTCCTTGTTAATTCACATACATGTTGCTAAATACCTCCATCTAACTTGTTCACTAAGTTATACTAAATGAAGAACTTGTGTTTAATGCTAAGAATGGATTGCAAAGGTACGTTGTGTATTGGTGTGTTGGAACAATATGTAATAAATCATGGTCAACTTACATAAAGAGTAACAATTAAGTCAAAATTTGTTTAACTGCTATCAAAAGTTCAATTCTTGGAGGCAATTTTTTTTGGAAGTTAGCTAGATTGATGTGGAAGTTCCCTTGCACGATCCTAATATGCTTATTTTGCGGCTTAGCCTACTTCCCTAGATGCTTACCCTTAGCCTTCTAATTTTTCTATGGTAGCCCTCACACGATTCCTTGGGAAACAATTATTTAACTTTGATTATATAGTTGATTGGATTATCAAATCTTACTCCATGCAAATCATGTTATTTTCCTTTTTAGTGACCTATGATGCAAATATATTATGATTTGGATATGAGTTTTTTATAAGAAATCCAGAGACCATAAAATTAAGTCTTCTTTATAAATAAAAAGAAGATCGTAGATACAGGTAAAAAACTCTTAATAAAATTCTAATTTTCTAAGCAATCATATGGATGTATAATTCTTTGAGTGCAATACAAGTGAAACTAATAAATTCTAGGGGAATTCATCCGCTTAAATTGAATTGAAACTTCACTTTTTTTCTCTGCTTGATAAATTCCCTCCTACCTTTCTGTTCTTCTAAATAATATGTAGAAAAAGATTCTTAATTGTAGGGTAAGAATTCAATTAATGGCTGATTTTTTCGTGGATCAAACTTCTCGTATATTTTTTAATGAATCAATAATTAAATTATCATTTAGTTCCAATTTTACAGATTTTCAAGTTTATACTCGAAGAACATGCTGCATAGCAAAGAAAGAAGTTCCCTTCATCATGCAGTAGCTTTAAGTAAACTAAAACCTTACTACATTGTGCATGCTTATCCTGAATCACTTTCATTATCCCTCCTCTGAAACACACAAGCATATTAAAAATGAGAAAACTAGTAGCCAAAGACAACTAAACATCCAAGGAAGAAAAAAAACGGATAACAGCTCTCCATATTGATGTAAAAATTACTGCACTAATTCCCATTTATAATCAATGCTACTTCTCAAAGTTAGCCAACAAATTACAAGAAAACTCAATAATAGCTCTCTGCACTTTACCTCTTTCCTTTCATCATCCATATAACAAAATGAAAATAAAAAATATCAATAATATCATTTTTGAATTGACACAAAGCCATATTTCGGATATTTTCCATTTTCTATGCTTTCAAACCTATAATGTGAAACAAAAGTGTTAATGGCATGGGGGGCATGAAGTGATTGGATGGATTCCAATAGTCTCAGACCAATGAAATTTATGCAGAAGCATAGTCCAATACGACACAATCTATGTACAGCATAGTAAATCTTCAAAAACTCATTATTATCACAATCCAGTCTGCTAGTATGCATCGTCTGATTGTCCGATCAGCAAAAGCATCAGTTTACCTTAATTCTTAATACTAGCATTCCAAAACTAATCCCAAAAATTAAAACTCATCGAACACAAGCCTCAAACAAAATTCATCGAGCTGACTAATTTCACCTTCACTCGTGCAGCTAATGAAGGAGATGAAGCCATCGGAAACGAAACCCTATCATTAACCTCAACATCACCGAAACCCTAATTGGACGCCGACAACTAGGATAAATCAGGAAGAAAAGTGATGAAGCTGAAATCTCAGAGAAAAGCGCGACGCACGAGAGACAAATTAAGCAAACCTAAATTAAATCGAAGGGAGATGATAAATCGAAAGGAAAGAGAAAGAACCTGCATGCAAGTTTCATCCCAATCATGGCCAAATCGGATGACGACGAGGCGTTCCTCCTCAGCGAGGATTGCCTGGTCGACTGCCCAACCTGAGTGGAGATGTGGCAGCAAGTAAGACATCACTCCGGCGAAGAAGACGACGAGGATTACTCGGTCTCAGGTCTCCCTCCTCTCTTCTTAGCCTGTTTCAAGGGGAAAGCAAAGTCGAATTGGAATTCAGGTAACGGATTTAGAGCAGAATTTAAGCTGGATTTAACCTAAAACTTCCCAGACGGTCATTTGGACTCGGATTGGATAAATCCGGATTTCACGGATGAATCGGCGGATCTAGTAAATCCGGGAAAAACTGTTCGCGTTAAAAAAAAAGACGTGAAGTTACCTTCCTCAATTGGTTTCAGGTAGGAGAGGAGCGTAGGACGAGAAAAATGGGAAGCGGCGATCCCGGCAGCCCGATTCCCGGAAAAATTTTCTGTCCGCAGGAGTCCCACAGATTTAAATTCCTCTGCTTAAAAATCGAGTGACCCAGCCCGAACAAATAATATAGAAATAATTTCGCCCTGCAATAACGCAATAAGCCCAAAAAACTACTCATTAACTCCAATAAACTTCACAGAATCACCGCAACAACCCCGCAAACCCACTCCAATAACATTAGAATAACCCCCAAAAACCCCGGAGTAACCCCTACTAACCCGCTGCTGGTAAAAACTTTAATAACCCCCGCACAACTACTTTAATAACGCTGTAATAACCCGCAATAACCACCCAATAACCATGATTCGCGTTGGGTCAAGCTTAAAATAAACCGTTTTGTACATTTTTAATTCAGTGAGACCGCAATAACACATGATAATATTTGATAGACTCCAGACGTAGAGCTACGTCTAGAGTCCGAACAGAAAATTTTTCGCTGATTCGCGAGGGTTCGGTCAGAAGGCGCATGTCCCTAAATAATAAATATATCATGATTGATGTGTCATCAAAAAATAAATTATGATTTAACACAAATCTTGAGTCACTTTAAGTAATGTACATTCTGAATACATATTCAAGCATTTGTGGTCTTAATTTCAACAAGTTCATAGTCAACCTGATCGTCTCGATAAGACGAAAATAAGGATTCCAAAATTAATTGAATCCCAACCAAATCAAATCTAGGTCAAGTCTTTAAAGTACATTGTCGGACTTTGAATCATAGATTGAATGATCATGAACTCTAAAACGAAACCAACGAGTTCAAAATTACTTAATTTTGAAATCCTTGAAGTACCTAAATCATTAAAAAAACCACCTTCTATCAAGGGGAATCAAATTGGTGGAGAATTCATTCACAAAAAGATCAAATGTCCCTCTCCCCATAGGTTGCAAATAGATCTCTTTTCTTCACTCTGAACTGAAGACCCGACAGTAACTTTGGGCCTCCATAGTTGTTGACCACCGTTAACCATCATCATTCGGCTACAGTCGACGTTCTGCCGCCACGACCCCTACTTGCAATCATCTTATCACAAATACGATTGTAATTTATAACACATGTATTGAAGATAAAATACAGTGATTGTTACCTTTATTTGTTCTTTATACTGACAAATGTAATTTCCAGTGTAAAATTGTAACATTATTCTTAGAGAAAGAGTCTAGCTATTGATTATAAACTATATGGTCAACTGCTGCCTTTACAATCACCAACTATAATCTATGTGACCAACAACTACTGCTGCAGTCCCTAACTATAACATATATAACCAAACTACTATTATAAATTCATACAACAGTTTCAATGACCAACTAGCGATTTTGCAGCCCCCAACAAAGACATATGTGACAAATTACTACTATATATTCCAACTGCAATTTCTATGGTAAACCCGTTCTACAAACTCCACCAAGGCCTACATGACAAGCTAATGCCGCAGTTTTCAACTACAGTATTTATGGTCAATTGACGCTATTGTTGTCAGTAATTACAATTTATATAACAAACTTCCATTATTACAGGTTCCAATTACAACTTTTACTCCCAACTATTGCAATCATGACCGAGAACTATACATATTTTTGCCCAATTATGATTATTACTACTTAACTACAATTATACATCTGTATTTATCAACCTTATAATTTCATCTTCGCTAATTCAAAAAAAGAGTGAATCTATGTACTTAGTAGATTACTTTGACTAGACTAGACCTTACGATTATTTTTCTTTTCTATAGGTTCTCAATATAAAAAAAATCTTATTGTATTCTCATACTATTTTTTAATTATTTGTGTGTGTGATGGAACTTCACGTAATTTCAAGACATTAAATTATCACTACCGCCACAAATTTTCTAGCACCCAAGACTGATAATTGTGAATTCATTTAAAAGTTTATTTTTGGATTAGTTTAGGGGGTGTTTGGTAGCTATCTGTTAATACGATTTAAAGGTCCAATTTTACTAAATGTAAAATTCAAATTTAATAAATTAAAAAAAAATGTATTTAATAAATCTGAATTTACTAAATCATACTAAAAGTAGTTTTCTCAAAATTTTGCTTGAGAAACTAAGAAAATAGAAAAATCTATATTTATATCTTTTTTTTTCAAAATTTCAAAATAAAACAACTCAATTTTTTTTTTATTATTTTAAATCTAGAAAATATTTTGTCAAACTATGTCCACTTGTTTGCTCTGCTTTAGCCTGCTTCACAGTGGCACGATTCTCTATATTTACATTTCTAACACAGAACATTTGATATTTACATTTATAACATTTTAAAATTAAGAATATACTAATGAAAAATATAATTTGAGTGGTGACATAATATTTTTATATGATCACAATTGATTGAGTGGTGATATGCATATAAATATTGAAATCTAGGTGTTGGATATGTAAATATTTAAAAATTTTGTGGTTAAAGGGAAATAATCCTCAATATATAAATATAAAGATCCATACATTAATTCAGTATTTACATCAATAATCTTCACTGGAGCTGTACAATACTTCCAGCAGTGAAGTCCTCAGCTCAGCCAGCCGCCATGCCTCGTCCGATCGCTGAAAGCTCGTTGCAGGTGGCGGCGAACGTTAACGCTACCATTTGTAGCATCTTCTTCTGCTCGCTCAAAAGACAAAGAAACGAAACTTTGCCAATCATCACCATCACCAACGCCATACATGTTCTTCTTCCTCCCAAGCGAACCCGCTTGCTTGATTGGCATTTGGCCGAATGAATCGGCAGCTTTGACTGCAAAATCTCCTTTACTGGCGGCTCTCCTGATCGGATTCATGACATGATTTATGCCATTAGTAGGGATCTCATGGTTCGCGGGCTCGGAAGAACGAGATTCCATTGAAGAACTCTTGGTGGTAATCTTGGGTTTGACATAAGGAGGCTTCAGATTGAATGTTCTAACACTTACAGCTTCTGAAATTCCATTATGGAAATCTCTTGCGATTTTAGTGTATGGAGGGATTGAATTGACGGATTTAGCAGAATCAGCGCTCCGCTTCTCGATACCGATCGAACTCGAAAACAGCCCATGAGCGCCGTCGAATCTTTCGCAGGTACTTGGGCTTTCAGTTTTGAAATCATTAGCACCAACTTCGGTGATCTTTTCTGTGGGAGCAGTAGGATGTTCATATTTTCTCATTTGTACAATCTTTTGGCGATCGTTGATGTTTTCACCATTTATGTGCTCCTCCGATTTTAGCTGTTTACTGTTCTCATTGCTGGAAAGAAACTTGATTTTGGGTTGATCCTGAAAGAATACAAACAAAAAAAGAGACCAGAAATCACTAAATTTTAAATTTCAGAAAGATTTACATACAAGCCACTCAATTCCTGTATATTTACACATCCAACACATAAACTTCAATTTTTAGATGTTAGCCAGGCCATCTTACCCAGCATGAGAAAGTGTATTTCATTTTTTTGGGAAAAGAGTTAAAATAGTGATATTTTTTATGTGATATGGAAGATTTGAGTGTTATGAATTTAAAATGTAAATTATTTGTATTAAATATATCTAAATACAGAGTAACTAGAAGATATATATGTAAATGACCTAAATATATCTTTCCCATGGTCATCAAAAAGCTTATATAAGAATCCAATGTAGAGTAAAGTGACAAAATAATCCCATAATTTAGTCCGAGAATATATAAAAATGTTAAATTAATCCCCAAATTCTTTTAATGAGGGTTAAAATAATCCTCATTCGGGACTATGTCAATTAATATTTAAAGATTTTGGAGACTAATTTGACATTTTATAAACCTTGGGACTAAAATGATCTACCAAATTAAGTGTCAATGAATTTTATACTCTCTACTCAAATGTGCCGAAGTCACAATGAATAGATGACTCTCGAGCAATATCTTGCATAGTTGCATTTACCAAAATTTCTCGTCCTGTGAAAAAGGACGAGAAATTGCTAAATTAATCATCAAACTCTTTTAAAAAGGGCCAAGTCTTCATTGGAACTACTGCAATGCATACTAAAAGAGTATGTGAATTTAAATTGACACTTCTATAAACTCTTAGATTAAAATGAATCTTTATGAAAAAATCACGGGACGTTCTAGCATTCATCTCATTTGTGTATCATACCAAAGTAGGGGATGATGGATTTGATATTCTGTACTCGAATTCGTTGAAGTCCCAATGAATCGAAAACTCCCGAGCAATATCTCGCATTAACCGCAATTTATCGTCTTGTGGAAACGACTTCTTCTTCATCTTCTCAACAAACTGTAAGAAGAAATAGGAATATGTGGAAGCAAGCATGGGAATAGAACTGAAAATTGGTGTAGAAAAGCTCAGGGACATTTACATACATAGATCCAAATCTTTTAAATTACATCAAAAACATCATTATTTTAACTTTTAAAAAGTACAATACACCATTGTCATGCATAGGTAAGATGAAATATATGTAAAGATTGAAGTTTGGTAATTATATAAATAAATAAAAATTGAATGGTGTGTATGTAAATCTTGCAAAAGCTTATGGTATTGACCTCTTCGTTTATATATGCCTCCATGAAGGTTCCATACCGCTTTGTAAACTGATTCCTAAGCTCTGCCAATTCAGGCAGGTCTGGGAATCTAGCAGCAGCAAATATCATAGTGGCGATGGCTTCAACGGTTTCTTCGGGACACACCCTGAAACAAAAGTAAGAAAAATTACATTCATGTCTGAAACTAATTTTGTGTCTTGTTTCTCCTTCCATTTTTCAAAAACATGCATAAAACATAATTCTAATGTATTTACATGTCTCACACCTAAACTTTCATATTTACACAATTACCTTGTCACCATTTTTAAAGAATGAAACACATCTATTCATGTAAAAATCAGGATTTTGAAAAGTTCAAATACCTGTCCTTTTGCATGGCGGGAAGATGTTCCAAGATGCAACAACAGTATTTCTCAATCATATCATAGCAGGAAGATTGATTTATTTCAACAATGAGTGCATCCATCTGTTCAAGCAGGGGAAGATAGGCACTACTCTTAAGAACATTTTAGGGGGAAAAAAAAACAAACCAATAAGAAAAAGTAGCATTTACATACATACCATTCAATTCCTATATAGTTACGTAGTTAACATCTAAAGTTTACTCTCTACATTCATACCGCCCAAATCTTTTATATCACCTTGAGCAAGGCTAGCATCTGTACGTGTTACGGCTCGTGTTCGATTAAGCTCTTGATTATAATTCAAATTTAGCTCGAAAATGAGCGGTGAAAGCCGCAGGCACAGGCCCACGGCTCAGCGCAACTCAGTATTGGGAGTGGTTGAGCTCTTTTTAAACAGCCAAGGGTGAAGCCAATTTTCTAATCTTCTGATGTGGGAATATATTGTGGGAGGCGGGATTTTCTTTGTTTTTTAATTTCTGAGGGCATTTAGGACTAAAAAAATTTTTGGGCATTTACATGGCATACCATCAAATTCTAATATATTTAGATATTTAAACCTAATTCCAGACAATACACCAAGGAAAGCCGGATTTGGAGAAACACTAGGAACGTTTACATACATACCACCCAATTTTAATGTATTTCAAAATTAACATCTAAATTTTCCTTTTTTATATTTATAAAAATTAAATTTTTGATATCATTTCAAAAATCCCACTATTTTAATTCTTATGTATTATATATTCAATTATTTATTTATTTCGTATCAAAACTATCTGAACAGGAACAAAAAACTCTTTGTTCGTGTTTGACTCGTTTATAAATCAAGCTAAGAAAATTTGTTTTAAGAAATGGTTAACTATGTGAAGTGACCTCTTTCCACTGAATCAATCCACATTCATTTCAACCTTGCGCAGATAAAGGAATTCATCTTTTTTATAACAAACAAAATATTAATCAAAGCGTTGCTTAATAATACTTACAATTGATGAATCTATATGAAGTTTTTGATGTGTTGTATGAGTTGATCATCTTTTCTATAAGCTCCGTATCGATTAAAAAGCAATTACTATCCATTTGGAAGAAATCTATCTTCGATAATTATATGACCGAAATTCTTCTTCTTCAGAGTTTTCGGCGTTGAAATTTTCTTAAGAACCTACTGAATTTGGCCGCATCAAACAATAGATATGCAAATCTGATTCAACAATTATATATTTGAAATGAAATCATTGAAAAACTGCTGATCCATGCGCAAAATTCTCCGTAATTTAAAAAATATCAGAAGAAAAAAAATCAAAATAGAGATAATTGAGAAGAGATGAGAGCTGAAATCCAGAGAAATGCAAACGCAAAGATGAATTCGTAAAGCAGATGATCGGACCAACAAATTCTTCGGAAAAAGTTAAACAAAAAAGCTGAATGAAATCAGTAGAAGAACGGAGTAGAAGGAACGTTGAAGGAAGCAGTACCCTGCCAAAAGCAATGGTGTCGTGGCCACCGGAGATGAGATCGGCAACGTCCTTCTTGAGATACCTCACGATCGCCTGCTTCTTCTTCCGAATCGTCTCCATTCTGCATCTGATGCACTTCACCGAGTGCTTGCTGCCAATAAATCAAATCAAATCGATAACAGTTTCATCAAATCCAAACCCTAAACCCCATACCGAAACCAAAATCCACAACCACAAATCCTCACCATTTGCTCGAGAACTTCCGTCCGAGGAGACAAAAGATCATCTTCTCTCTCTGTCTCTCCCTCTCTCTGTCTCTCTCTCTCTCTCTAATTTAATAAGCACAGTGATGGGAAGTAGGGATTCAGGCTTTAGATCTGGCAGCTCGTGACCGCCATTAAAGCTCTAAGCTTAAAGGCTTAGAGAAGCGTTGGGAAACTGAAGAGAACTTCGTGTGGAAGGCGAGGCGAGTGGTGAGCTTTTTGGGAGGACAGAGGAGAGAGAAGAGACGGATGCGAGAATTTAATTTGAAAAAAATATAATACATTTAATTATTTATAGAAATATGAATTTGAAATTTTATTTGAGAGTGTATCTTTACTTTTTTTTTAAATAAAGTGCAGTGCTTAAATAATTTTTACCGTTTTAATCCTAAAATTTATAGAAATATGAAAATAGTTCTTATGGAGAAGTATTCGAGCTTAATTTTAAAATAGTATGAGATAATTTTAAAAAAATTATTGTATAAATACACCGCATGCAAAGATGCATACGATCTTGATCAGAGTCAGGATGTATTTCGATGGGCCCCATTTTAATTTTTTTTTTCAAAAATATTTTGATTGCATTATGACCGCAGATCATCGTGATCTACGGTTAAGATCGGACACCGCATGTATCTCTGTATGTTATATATGTATGCAATAATTTTTCATAATTTTGACATTTCAATAAGCTCAGAGACACTTTAACTCTCCTTAAAAAAAATAAAGTGCTAAAATACTTATTTATTTTATTTATATGTGATCATTTTAATTCTAAAAATTTATAGAATTGTTAAAAGTATTATATCAGGACTCTTAATGCAGTTTGAGTTCGAAGTTTAATGGTGTGGCGTCACGTGTTAAGTGGGTCACATCGTAAAACACTGATATTGACCAATGTTAAAAAAGGTGGAGTCCACTTGACACGTGACGCTCCACCATTAGACTCCAAATACATCAAGAATTCTGATGTAATATTTTTCGGACTATTCCAACCTTAATTTAAAGTGTATGTGATTCATCTGACACTGTTATAAAAAAGACATTATTTTGGCACTTTACTCTCTTTCAAAATAAAATTATGTAATAAATTATTGTTGGGAACCAAAATATTGCTTTTATTTATATATCTAATTGCTAGAAATTAGTATTTACATTTATTAAACTTTAATGTCATGGACTAATAAATAAAAAAAAAATGTATTTATTTTTTTAACAAGTTAATTGTAATAAAATATACACCTAACATTAAATATTTTAATGTTATGGATATAGATATAAAATAATTAGATATTAAATATGTAAACAACAAGAATTGTATGTTTTTTTTTTTTTTTTTTTTTTTTTTATTTAGGGTCCCTTCAAATTACGGTAATTTTGCAAATTCAAAAGTGGCTCAACGGCTCTCATCAAATTTGTTCTTTTAATAATTTAATAGTTTAATACATCGACGTCATGCTAATCTTAATTTGCAAAATCTAAGGGTGAATTAATTTAATTCTTTATTTCCTATTTTTTTTTCACTTTATAAATTATATTTGATGGAAAAATATCTACAATTTGTTTTAAGAATAATATTGATCAATTTATTTATTTATATTTACCAAAATAATTAGAGTGATACAATTATAAAATTACATAAAAAAGGGGCAGTTACACGAGAAATATTTGCGTACGTAAGACGTACGCAGAGTTGCGTGCATATTAGATTATTAAGAGAGTACAAGTAGGGTACACTTAGGTTACAGGAAGAATTACAAGGGATATAACCTAAGTGTAACATACATGTACCCTCTTAATAATCTAATATGTACGGAACTTTGTGTACGTCTTACGTACGCAAATATTTCTCAAATTACACGCAAATAACCCGAAACTTGCCATTCACAAATAAGCCACTCTCTTTCGTCCATTTTTTTTAGATTCACTCTCAAAAGTCAAAATTTATGGTAAAACCTCAACTCATATTTTTCATTTTTTATCAAATTCTCAATTATTTTTTGATCATTCATGGAATTCATCCGAGTGATTAATTTATAAATATCAATGTTTCTGTTGATCCCATATAATTATTTAAATACAAAAAAGAATATGAAATATTCGAAACTTTCTTTTATCATTCCTTCTATTGGAAGAAAATGTAAATTTATAGGAATAATGATAATGCCTCTCAATATATATTTTTTGTAAATTATTTATTGATTGATTCCTTCCTTAGCTGTATGGCTTTAGAAGGACGCAACTAGCTCATGACTTTCAGTGTCTTTTTGCTAAGTAGCTTATGTTCTACGAATCACGATAGCTTTGTTTTTTTTATTATTATCATTATTAATTCTAGAATAAAAAATTTTACAAAATTTACACGCATGCCTTTTATGTATTTACGTATCTAACCACTAAAGTTTAGTATTTAGATTTATAAAAATTTGATATTGCAAATTTATTAATGGAAAAATATATTTAAATTTTTTTTTTAATTAGTAATAGCTATAGTATGTGATATTAAGAAATTGAATATTATGCAAATATATACGAAAGTTCAAATGTTAGAAATGCAAATAATAGCAATATTGTTATTGATGTTCGTTAGAAAATTCGGTGGACAATCCGAAAAGGAAAAACCCACAGGATATGACCCAATTAAAGAGATCCATTATGAAAAAATGATTAAAGTTACAGTTGAAGAGTTTCACTATAAAATGAATATCATGTGGTAGATATATAAAGCTTCCTATAAGCATAACCAAATTAACATCTTCACATTTTTTTCTCTAAAATCCAAAGCTACCATTATCCCATTCAACATGGAAAACTTACTAACTACATCACATTTGTTATCATCGGGCTCAAACCCCTATATAAATAAATAAATAAATAAATACATATATATACACATACACATACAAAAAGAGAGATAAAGATGGACACAGAGAGAGAGAGAGAGAGAGAGAGAGGCTTTATAGTGAATAATAAATAATGATGAAAACTTTTAATAATTTTTTTGACAAGTTCGATATAAATATTCTAACCCGTTAGGGTCGGATCAAATTAACCCATCAATGCTCAAGACTTAAAAATGACTCGACAAGTCTCAATTGACTTGAAATCAACCCATTAATCCAAAAACTACCTAAAATTAACCCAATTTTAACCAGAATAAATATTATTCCATATGTTAAACATATTATACTGGCCAGGTTCGGATTGAAACTTTTGACTCATATTATAGTTAGGTCAGGTGCGAGTCGAACCTATTCAGGTCGTGTCGAATTTGGGTTGAACCAAAACTTGACATGTTGACCTGAATTGACACTCCTAAAACCTAAGTAAAGCCTCAATGGCTCTGCAAGCTAAAATGAAAATTTTATTTGCAACAAGAAAACAAATACCCAATAAAAATTACAGCATACCATCATACAAAAAAACTTCTAAAAAAACAAAACCAAAAACAAAAACAATGGTTCCCAAATTACAAAAACTTATAAAAAAAAAAAAAAAACAAGACATGGAAGTCTATGAGGAGGTCTTTACAGAGCTGCAGATTTCTCCCTCCAAAGAGCTTTTCTGGCAATTAGAACCCTTTCATCCCCTCTGGAAAGAGCATCAACAACTGGTTCGAACTCAAAAGACCAATAGTCCCATCTCAATGGTTTGAGATACCTCCGAATGTAATTTACAGTAAGGGATTGGTCTCTGATGATGACGAAGCCGTGCGGCCGCAAGATTCGATCCATCTCAATAAGCAGATCCTCCAGACTACAGCCATGCCGCTCTACGTCGGAGAAGACGAACCAGGCATGGAGCAGGTCGTAGGTGCGCGGGTAGGTCGAGAACGACTCGCACCTGCATCCACATTGTTAATCCAAGGCCATCCACATTGTTAATCCAAGGCCTAGATGCGGTTAATTTTAACATACATGCCAATCAATTCCTACGTGTCACATATCTAACAACTAAACTTCAATTTTTATTTGCACAAACATTTTACCTATGCATGAATTAGAAGTTAAATGGTGGTGGTATTATTGATGTGATTTGAAAGATTTGGGTGGTATTAATGCAAAAAAGTAAAATTGGGGAGTGGGAGTCAGATATGTAAATATATAAGAATTGGGTGGTATGTATGTAAATGCCCCAATAATATAAAATTTACCTATATACCACAAAATTCATATGTATTGACATATCTAACACCTAAAGTTCGATATTTACACTTCGGTGTCATAAACTTTTGCATGAAAAAGATATGTAAAGACATAAAAATTGTGTCAGTAAGTGGCAGTGTTGAATCTGATTACATACATAGAAAAGGGATATTCTATAGCATCTCTAAACCATAATCCAAATATTTCTTTTAACTATGAGACTTCTAAAGCCCAAACCCATCAAAGTTTTCTATCTTTGAGGCATGAAATCATTCCCAAGGATGCGTCCGTTTTAACGGTGTAATGATTTGGATTAAGAATTGAAGAAACAAAAGCCTAAGGAGAAATTAAGATATTTAAATTAGAAAAATATTAAATATTTTTATATTTAAAATTATTGAGTTTATTTTTATTTATGTTTTATATTTTATGATGCAATTTTGATCACATTTTAATTAGTACTTGCATGTAATATATCATTATTATGTTATTTATGTCATATTTAATTAATTTTTATATTTATTATGTCATCCGGTTCAACCCTAATTTTAACCACCGTAGAACCAATGAACCTTGAATATTTCCTTCTTCCGGTTTGATGTCCAGTCCGATTTTCACAACTTTGATAAATACAGATAGCAGGTTTGCAAGGGTGTGAAATATAAATACATACCAGTCATGGATCGTTCCGATTAAACCTCGATCATAAATGATCTTCAATTTGCTAGATTCATCAACAGGAACTACATTCATAACCCACACATCTTTATCTGCGAGAGCTGCAGCGAAACCTCCAAAATTTGCTCCCATATCCATTACATTTCTAATGGAATTCTTATGTATTTCAGAACTCAAATGTTTCCAATACTGAATCACTCTCTTGTGCCATATCAGCTGAAATGCAGCAACAAATCAGTTAGAAATTCTAAAACTTGTTTAGAAAAAACTTAAAAGAGATACATACCTACCACACAATTTGTGTACTTATCTAACACCCAACGTTTGATATTTACACTTAAAATACTTTGGTATCATAAACCAATGCATGATAAAGTGCATTTCACTTTAAAAAAGGTGATATTTTTTATGTAATGTTAAAGATTTAAGTGGTATGTATGTATATGATTGTTTAGGTGTTAGATAGGTAAACATATGAGAATTGAGGGGTATGTATGTAAATGACGCTAACTTAAAAACAATAGATAGTGAGAAAAGTTTACGAGAACACACGTTATCCTCTTGATATTTGTCGGAAGAGATACCAAGTTCTTCCAAACGAGGAGGTGGTGCTGTTAACCTCTGAGGCCATGGAAGTAGTTCGCTGCCTTTAGCCCTATTCACCCCTGTTAAGCAAAAAGTCACATTGTTATGATTCAGGAAAAACATTAGAGTCCGACAAATAAAGGTATAAAATATCAAAATTTCATGTTTTTTAAACGACTGAAGCCCAGTTGAGAATCATCCTAAAGCCAACTAACTTAGCACAAAGCATGGTCTTAAGTCTCCGACCAAAAATATCAGTTTCATGCATTTCTAGAAATATTGACCAGAACTAGCAGCAAAGGATATCAGTTCTGACCCAGTTCTGCCAAGTTTGAACAAAAATAAATCCATCACCCTCTCCTGAATTTTCATTTACTTTTAATTTCTATTGACTTTTAAATGAACATTTTGATATTAATAAATTATTATAATCCTTCAAATATCATCATAAAAAAAATGTTTTAAATATCATCGTCATCTTGACCTCTATAATCCTTAAAATATAGATTAACAAAGATTATAATGTTATTTTATCTTCACATTAATTCAATTTCAATATCATCTGCTCGCTATTTAATTAAAAGCAGGCTTTAAAAAGAATACAGCTCTACGGATGCATGCCTAAAAAAGGTAAACTAAAAGCAAAGTGAGTATATCATGGCACTTAATCACGTCATGTTATATTGTTTCTTGCACAACTCCATCACATAACAAAATCCTGGTTCATATTGTTGTGAAATTTAGGGCCAAACAATCACAAAATCGACACAAACCAAAAGAAGAACACAGAGATTTAACGAAGCTCGGCAAAAATGCCTACATCCTCGGGAGCGAGCGGCGAATTTCACTATTTCAGAGGAGTTCAGTTACATACCCAAGGGTTACACATATATATAGACATATAAAAAACCCATAGATAAATTACCAACACGCCATCGCTCCCCCCAACCCACAAAATATGAAGAGACAACTCTTCACCAAGAGACACACCTCTTCACTTCAAGAAACTCCAACTTCCGGTATATGAGTCATACCTAACAATTCTCCACCTTGGCGAATATCCAACCCCTTCGGAGAAATACTTCATGGAGTTTCTTACACCGTAGTGGGTTGAGCAACCATGCCAACTAGCAACTGCAAACATTCAACAAGTTCAAGTCACCCAAGAACTTGTTGAAAATATCTAGCTTGATCAACATATCTGCTACATTTTCATCATATGATCCGATAGAGTGCACTATACCCACAACTGTACTCCCCAACAGTTGATAGATATTACCATCAGGTTTCGTAGCCCGCAATGCCTTCAAAAAATTTCTTGTGCCAACAAATCTTTCACCTTTGTTTGCAACAATATGAAGTTTCATGTTCCGCCAAACTTCACTATCTTGAATTTTGCATCAGACATTGTCATTCGAATTTAATGCTGCAGCAAATTTTACCTGTCTTGTATGAAATAAAACACACACTACAAATAAATTCAAATAAACATGAAATTTCTTCTGTCAATTTGCAGCAATTTCCCGCAGTTTCCAGTGATTCGTAAATCAAATTTTTCACACGAAGCATATTTCTTGTTCGCACAAAAATTCAGCTGAAATACTGCGGACACCAGTCGAACTCCACCTGTCACAATTTCTCCTGCGACAAACTTGCGAACAATCTGCGAAATTCGCGAACTCCACATGTCGCAATTTCTCCTGCGACAAACCTATGAACTCCACATGTCGCAATTTCTCCTGCGACAAACCTATGAACTCCACATGTCGCAATTTCTCCTGCGACAAACCTGTGAACTCCACTTGCCGCAACTGCACCTGCCACAACTCCTGTGACAAACTTGCGAGCCCTGCTGACCGAGCACCACCTGTCACAACTGCACCTGTCGCAACTCCAGCGACAAACTTGCGAACACCTGCAGGAACTGCACCTGCCGTAACTCCTCGTGACACAAACTTACGAACACCTGTCTCAATTGCACCCACCGCAACTCCTCTTGCAACAAAATTGTGAACTCCGCTCATCGAGCACCACCTGCCGTAACTCCTGCGACAAACTTGCGAACTCCACTCGTCGAGCACCTCTATTCACAAACGCTCATGTTCGCGGTAATTGCACGCAAACTCATGTTCACGAACTCCACCTTGCTGAACACCGCGAAGGTTCGTGAACTGTTGCGCCTCGAAGCCTCCACACCGCCTCTACCGCGAACTCCCCGAAGCAAAACTCGTCAAACTGCCGCAGTCATTGGCTCTGATACCAGTTGATATGAACTATACCAATATATCAGTTGATGTGGTATATATATATATATATATATATATATATAAATCAAACAGGAGAACGATCGACGACGAAGTAAAAAAATGGAACGAGAAAAATTACACCCGAAAAGAACACAGATTTACGTGGTTCGTCAAAGATGTCTACATCATCGAGAGCAAGCGGCGAATTTCACTATTTCAGAGGAGTTCAGTTACATACCCAAGGGTTACACATATCTATAGACATATAAAAAACCCATAGATAAATTACCAACACGCACTTGCTCCCCCCAACCCACAAAATATGAAGAGACAACTCTTCACCAAGAGACACACATCTTCACTTCAAGAAACTTCAACTTCCGGTATATGAGCCATACCTAACACATATATCATGGCTCGATTAAGCATATGTAAAAATAAATAAGGATTGATATTCCCTCTCCTCGCTCAATATTTTCTCATAATCATTCAATTAGTAGCTCATTGGTGCTTCGTTCACTTCAGTTAGAGCTTGTCATCATTATGATGATTATTTTCTTCAACCTATCTTAAACACTAATTTTTCATATGCTTTTCGATGATTCATGTTGCTAGTGATGCTTGCATTTTTTTTTTCACAACATTCTTCTTGAGAATGCTTCTAAATGCCTCATCGTCGCACACTCTTTTACCTCATGAAGCATCCATATCTCTATCTCTAGTTAGATATCCAATCTCAGGAGTTTTTTCTTTCAAGTGCTCTGTCATGACTTCATCATTTATATCTTCGATCTTTTCCTTTTGAGTAGTTAAAATCTCATATTGAATGTATCATTATATTTGTTTAAAATTATTACTCTAGTTGGTCACTCAATCTTATAAGTGTTCTTAATTTTTAAGCATTCTTTCTTTAATTTATGCTTTAATTTATCATTTATAACTTTACTTTTGTTTGATTTAGACAAACTGAAAATCATTGTTGTTAAACGCGTTGTTATGTTTGGTTAAAGCTATTACTTCATGTGGCTTAAGTTTAGATAATTAAATAACTATTAACCTTCTAGTTAGTAAAAGCACCACTTCACTCTGTGCTTTGTGCATTGAAGAAAAAACAAACTCTCGCATGTGCTTAATGCTTTGAATATACTAATTATCTTATCTTTATCTGCCTAGTCAAACAAATTATCCGCTCCCAAAGGTCAAATAGCATTCATCGAACTTAGTTCCAGCCAAGTAATTTAAAAGTAATATCTATCAAACAGCCTCCCTATCAGTTGTGTGGTGAATGAAGAGAAGAAAGATCGGGCACATCATACACAAACAATCCTGAATCCTTGTCCAAAGGAAAATCGCTGAACAAACTCCACAAAAAATGAAATAACAGGACAAAATTTATTTGTTCACCTTGAAATAAAACTCATTTTCTCCCAAACATAAAGGCAGAAGGACAACACATAACATGCCGCACAAAAAGAAAAAAAAATATATAGCAATGGAAATTGCTTCACCTTCAACTGTTGAGATTAGAAATGATCAAATCCATAGGATCAAGCATGTATAAAATCTCTGCGGCACCCAAAAAAAAAAAAAAAGGAATTGAAAAGAGCCCCGGGGGACAGCTTAGCAGCGGTGCTCTAGGGGCCCTAAATTAGAGCTCTAAAAGGTTTATTTTAACGTGTAAATGACTTCTAAATTACAGCCCGATATATCATCCAAATATTTAAACGGTAATTACCTGCGGTCATCAAATTACTCTCCTCACAGAACCGTAGCGTGCGTTCCTCCAGACAATAGAAGGTGAAACAGTTCAATCCCACGCACTCTTCCTTCTTCAAACAAAAACCTGCCTAAATCAGCAAACTCAAAACCATGGCCAAATCTACAAGGAAAAAATGAACCCTACCAAATCTAACAAAACACAATTTGAAAGGGAAAAAGTTTTGGGGTCATATTGATGGGTCTTCTTCAACTCCTAAAGAGCTGAAAGATCTTGGTCAATGGGAGGCAAAGGATGCTCGAATTGTTTCTTGGATTTTGGGATCTATTGAGACTCATATATTGAACAATTTACGGTCCTTTGAGACTGCTAAAGAAATGTGAGAATACTTAAAGCGTGTCTACAATCAAAATAACACTGCAAGACGCTTTCAATTGGAACTCGATATGAGTAATTATATTCAAGGCAATCTCTCAATTAAGCAATATTATTCTGGCTTTTTAAATTTATGGAGCGAATATTCTAACATTATCAATGCTAAGGTATTGAAAGAGAATTTAGCTTGTCTTCAGGCTATTCATGAAGTGAGTCGGCGTAATCAGTTTTTTATAAAACTCAGACCAGAATTTGAACATGTTCGGGCCGGGTTGTTGAACAAAGATCTGATTCCTTGTTTAGATGTAAGTTTTGGTGAATTACTGCGCGAAAAACAAAGATTGGCGACACAAACAACTATAAGTACAACCGCGGATCAACAGAAATAGTTAATGTTGCATATGCCACTCAAACCCAAGGAAAGGAAACAAAGCAGTGTTACAACTACAAAGAATTTGATCATATTGCTCGCCAATGTAAGAAACAGTTCTGCAATTATTGCAAGAAAAATGGACATATTATCAAGGAGTGTCCTACACGCAAAATTGCAAATCACAAGCACTTCATGCTACAACATCCGACTCTCACAATCCTGGTTCAACATCAACAATTGTCGACTACAATCAATCTGTTGTCACACCAGATATGGTTCAATAAATGATTCTCTATGTTTTTTCTGTTCTTGATCTTCAAGAGAAAAATAACACTTACTTTTGTTCCATCTCCTTGATTTGTTGATTCA